TTGTTTAGTTAATATGCAATGTTGTAAAGTGTAATTATTAAGATTCGAACTTTCTTATAAAAAAAGATGATTCGAAATTTCTAACTGAAACCACCAAACTAACAGTGAAGAAGAATGACTATTTTCACGTAAAAAAACCTTAAAAAGAAGACTACTTTCATACCATATAGTATACGAGCGAGTATCTTATTTGTTGGAAAGGCCATCTATCAAAAGCGTACGTGCTTGTGTTCTAAAACATTAATAATTAAAATAACACTTTTAAACAAAACTATGGCAATTAGCCTTTAACAAGAAAAAAAAAGAAGCAATGGCAAATCAATTAGTATGGTGGCGTGAGCCTGTTCGGACAGAAAAGTCCCAACAAATTACATAGTGATTGTTTTATATAAAATACTTATGTTAGTTAAAACCATATTTTTCGTTATCAAAAATTAATCTTAATACGAACATTGTACGTGTATGAAGAAGAAATAATACATTATTAGTTCTTCATACACGTACAATGAAGAAGAAATAATACATTATGAACTAGCTAGTAGAACTTTGCAAGTAAAAATTGAGTTAACACATTATGAACTAATAACGTGTATGAAGAAGAAATAATAATTTCTTCATACAAAGTTGTCTACGTGTATGAAGAAGAAATAATAACTTCTTTCATACAAAGTTGTCTACGTGTATGAAGAAGAAATAATACATTATTAGCTAGTAGACAACTTTGCAAGTAAAAATTGAGTTAACACAATTCAATCCTAATCGATGGAGAAAATATCTCCTATAATATTATATTCTAATAATAATTTAACCCAAAAGAATATGCTATTTTATCTAATTATTTTTATGGGTAGTTTTAGGATATGAAAAATCATACATTATTGGTTTTTTTTTTTTTTTTCTTTCAAAGTTGGACTTCTATAAATGGATACTATTTTAATTGATATTTTGGTACGTTTATGAGACGATAAAAGATATTATGCACATTTGTTTTTATAATAATAGTCGTTTTCACAAATTTCAGTTAAATAATAATCATATTAGTAATTATCTTATATATATGGAAATGAAAATTTATTTTTAGTAAGCTATTCTTTTTTTCTTTTTTAAATCTGTTTGGAGTTGAAGTTAGTTAGAAAACTTTAAGTTATATTGAAAATCAAAAACGATATTAAATTTACAACAGAAAAATACTGTTAAAACGATTTCTAATTAAAAAGGGAATAAGTAAAAGTATATTCTTGTTTTTTAAACGAATTGTGGTAACCTTTTGTCTTATCTCCTAGTATTATTGATTTTCGAAACGTCTATTCTCTAAGACCCCACAAAAAAAAAAAAACAAAACTTGAAGAGCAACTCATTCAAGATGCCAAATAAACACCGTACTGGCCAATATCATTAGTGGCACAAAAGAATCAAAACTCTATTATTTTGTGACACGATTATAGGTAGAAGTAATTTTGTTATGTCTTTGTCATTTTTTTAACTTATCCTTTGATATCTTGCTATATTTTTTTTGTCTGAATCTGAATTTTGTTATGCTATATTTAGCTAACGGCACAAACAAAAATATTCAGGTATATTATTATTTTGGAGGTTTGGATTTGGGTTTTGTTCCACATGAAAAAAAACTTTTAGCAGTTTGGGTCGACTCAAAGAAGTCTCGATAGCCCACTAATATATATAAGCCATCCTTAAAGCCCAATGCATATTATTTTAGAAGCAGAACTTGGTAAGCATCATAACATTTTCGCTTTTACACTTTACTAAGCATCATTAGTCAGACATTTTCGTTTTTATGCATCGTATGCAGACTATAAAATATTTTATATATTCAATTATAATTATTATAGTATTAAAGATATTTTATTTATATATGATTAATTATTCATTTGATAATAATAATAATAATAAATTAAATATAAAATATTATATATTTTAATAGAAAATAAAAATAGAAGATATTGACTAAAATTTTAAAATATTTCTTTGAATAAAAAATGTAAATATAATAACTAAATAAACAGAAAAATATTAAAATATAAAATAATTTATTTAATTTTTATTTTTGATCCTTACACATGTGCAACTGTAATTTTTTTTAATAGACATAATTAGTTGTAATATTTAAGTATTGATTATTTTTTATATATTATGTAAATGTTATGTTTTTATACATATACAATTTTGGTATTCAACAACAATCACACAAACGTTTCATACCGTTTTGTGTCTTTTATTTATTTTTATTTTTCTAGCGTTTACAGTAATATATAATTGTAATTGTAAAAGTTATATTAAATAACAATTAAATTTTTATAATATATTTTGAATATTATCTATATAATACTTTTTCTCTTTACATAATATAATCTTACCAATATATATATTTTTTAAGTATACATGTTTCCTTGACCTATTGCTAATTAAATCAAAATGAATTCTATCATATTTATTATCCTAAGAGCAGGTAGATGGTTGGCCTGCACATTCGTACGTACCAACCATCTTACCGCTCTTTGGACGTATAAAGATTTAAAAAAATATATAAATTATCTTACAACTAAAATTAAAATTAGAGTGTAATCAAAGTTAACAAAATCTATGAACGACAAGTTTGTATTTGAGTTTGACTTTGCACAATTAAAATTTATATTTACAAAGATATTTGTAAGAAAATCGAAGTATGGCTTTTATGTGTTAAAAGAAATAACAAAATATATATTTTGTAATATATACTTTTATAATATATTGATGATTTTAAAAAATAATAATAGTAAGTATATTTATGCATGTAGGTATGAGTTAGAAATAAGTGAATTGTGATATTTAGGTATTTTCCTGTACTTTTCTGGTATTGATAAGTTTTTTCTGATAAGTGAATTTGTAAGTTTTTTCTGGTATTTTTCGCAAATGTTATGTTTTTACATGATGCAGTTATTGGCGTTTAACAACAATCACGAAAACCGTTTCTCTCGTTTTGTATTTAATCAAAGTTTCTTATTTTTTAGCGTTTGATGATATATGGCTCCTCAATAATAATATAATAAAAATTTATTATAAAATTTGTGAAATCATATTTTATAAAATTCTCTGATAGCTCTCCACTCATCTCTTCGTCAAATGTTTTATAATCCGCAATCGTGCGCTTCCACAAGCTCTCTATTATCGAATCGTTTAAACCAATCGGATCTAAATTTATATGTGTATGATTTAATGTATAAAATAATATATTTAATATTTGATTTTTATCAAAAATTAAGAGTTGATCTGTTCCTAACTTTAATATACTTAATATAAAATATAATAGATCACAACATATACAAAACTTGATTCATGAAATAATGTTTTAATATATTAGAAAAATATATGCATTAAAGAATTAATAAATGTAAGGTAATATTTTTAAATATTTCAAATAAAAATTAAAATCGATCAAAATTATTCATATTTATTTTTTTGTCTTCTTTGACTCATATTTTTTTCTTAATATTTAATATATTATTAAATATTTAGATCATCTCTAATGTATTTTCTATTTTGTCTTCTAAAATATAAGTGGACTTCTCTCCAACCTATTTCTATTTTATAGAAAAAAAAGATTGTTATTTTTTCCTCTATAATTGGAAGCAAAAAAATAACAACCTTTCTTTTTCCTCTTAATTAGAAGATTAAAAATAAAGGTGCGTTAAAAATATTTTAAACCAATAATATAGCCTAAGATTTTTACGTAAAACTAAAGTCGTAAAGATTATTTTTACTTTTACTTCTATTTTTTATTCATATATATAATATTATAATAAAAAATTTAGCTAACAAGATACTTATAATTTATTTTTCTATCTGTTTATTTTTATTTAATTTATAATTTTGAATTTTTGCTATATAATGAGAATTTATTCATCTATGATATAAACTTTTTTATTTAAAAATGAGATTTATTTAGTTTTAATTTAATCAATCAAAACATTTCATTTATTTTAGAAAATTTATCATGTCACATTTATGAAGTTGCATTGTTTTACACTAATTTTTGCTAAGATGATGACACATTAGATTTTTTCATTAAACATGCTTCATAAATACTAGTAGTTAAGACTTTGTTGTAAGTTATATTTATTTTTATTTGGATTTTTAAGATGCGTTCGTCTTTTTGCGGTTGATGATTTTGCATTTTGTCAAATAAACTTTTTCATATTTTTTAAAAAAAATCGTTTACAGTTCACTAATACAGAAAAAACATGTGTTTTTTGTTATATCGAGATTTAGTTTCTTCCAATACGAATATGAGAAGAGATTCCGTGGAAAAGACAACATGTGTACAGTGTTACTTCTCGGCAAAATTCATATTTTTTTTTGTTCCGGATAACAAAACTAAGAAAACCAAATTCTTATCACTGAACACTCAAATATGAGATAACATAGAGAGAAGAGAGCCAATAAAGGCTCTACTTTTCTTCTTCTTCATCATCTCCTTCACAATGGCTGGATCAGCTCTGCCTCTTCCACCACCGCCGTCACTTTCGTTTCAATCTCCGCCGCAAAACCAAACCCGCCATTCTTCTACCTTTTCACCACCAAACCTCACTCCTTCAATTCGTTCCCGCCTCAGCAAACTCTGTCAAGATGGAAACCCACAACTCGCACGCCAACTGTTCGACGCAATTCCCAAACCAACCACAGTTCTTTGGAACACAATCATCATCGGCTTCATCTGCAACAATCTGCCTCATGAAGCTCTCCTTTTCTATTCCCGGATGAAAAAGACGGCGCCTTTCACCAAATGCGACCCTTACACTTACTCTTCCACACTCAAGGCTTGTGCTGAGACTAAGAACTTGAAGGCTGGTAAAGCCGTGCATTGCCATTTGATCCGTTGTTTACAGAACTCGAGCAGGGTTGTTCATAATTCTCTGATGAATATGTACGTTTCTTGCTTGAACGCTCCTGGGAGTGAAATGGATTCTTCTGAGTACGATGTTGTGCGTAAAGTTTTCGATAACATGCGTAAGAAGAACGTTGTGGCTTGGAATACTCTGATTTCTTGGTATGTGAAAACAGAGAGAGACGCAGAAGCGTGTAGGCAATTCGCGATAATGATGAGGATGGAAATCAAGCCGAGTCCGGTTAGCTTTGTGAACGTTTTCCCCGCGGTTTCGACTTCGAGAAGCATTAAGAAAGCTAACGTTTTTTATGGTTTGATGCTTAAACTGGGGGATGAGTATGTGAAGGACTTGTTTGTGGTGAGTTCGGCTATATCTATGTATGCGGAGCTTGGCGATATTGAATCATCACGGAGAGTTTTTGATTCCTGTGTCGAGAGAAACATCGAGGTGTGGAATACAATGATAGGTGTCTATGTTCAGAACGATTTCTCGGTCGAAAGCATCGATCTTTTTCTTGAAGCAATAGGATCAGAAGAGATTGTGTGTGACGAAGTAACGTTCCTCTTGGCAGCGAGTGCTGTTTCAGCTTTGCAGCAAGTGGATTTAGGCAGGCAGTTTCATGGTTTTGTGAGCAAGAACTTTAGAGAGCTACCGGTTGTGATATTGAACTCGTTGATGGTGATGTACTCGAGGTGTGGCTCTGTGCACGAGTCTTTTGGAGTCTTTGGTTCAATGAAAGAGAGAGATGTTGTATCATGGAACACTATGATCTCTGCGTTTGTCCAAAACGGCTTTGACGATGAAGGGTTGATGCTGGTGTACGAGATGCAGAGGCAAGGGTTTAAGATTGATTACATAACTGTGACTGCTTTGCTTTCGGCTGCATCAAATCTTAGAAACAAGGAGATTGGGAAGCAGACTCATGGTTTCCTTCTCAGGCAAGGGATTCAGTTTGAAGGGATGAACAGCTACCTTATCGACATGTATGCTAAGTCAGGTCTAATTAGGATCTCACAGAAGCTTTTTGAGAGAAGTGGTTATGCTGAGAGAGATCAAGCTACTTGGAACTCTATGATTTCCGGGTACACTCAGAATGGATACACAGAGGAAACGTTTGTTGTGTTCAGGAAGATGATAGAACAGAGTATACGACCCAATGCTGTAACCGTGGCATCGATTCTCCCCGCATGTAGCCAAATAGGTAGTATCGACTTAGGTAAACAGCTTCATGGTTTCTCTATCAGGCAATACTTGGATCAGAACGTATTTGTGGCTTCTGCGTTAGTTGATATGTATTCAAAGTCAGGAGCTATTAAGTATGCAGAGAACATGTTTTATCAAACGAAAGAGAGAAACTCTGTGACGTACACGACGATGATACTGGGGTATGGTCAACATGGAATGGGCGAGAGAGCTATCTCGCTGTTCCGTTCAATGGAAGAGTCGAGAATCAAACCGGATGCTATCACCTTTGTTGCAGTGTTATCAGCTTGCAGCTATTCCGGTCTAGTGGATGAAGGTCTAGAAATATTCGAGGAAATGAGAGAAGTTTACAACATTCAGCCTTCGAATGAGCATTATTGCTGTATCACAGACATGTTAGGGAGAGTAGGCCGTGTTAACGAAGCCTACGAGTTTGTTAAAGGACTAGGTGAAGAAGGGAACGTAGCTGAGTTATGGGGTTCGGTTCTTGGGGCTTGTAGACTACGCGGTGAGCTCGAGCTCGCTGAAACTGTTACAGAGAAGTTGGCTAAAGTAGATAAAGGAAAAAACTTTTCAGGGTATCAGGTTCTGCTCTCGAATATGTATGCTGAGGAACAAAACTGGACGAGCGTTGACATGTTGAGGAGAGGAATGAGAGCAAAAGGTATGAGGAAAGAAGTTGGTCGTAGTGGGATTGAGGTTGCAGGTTATGTAAACTGTTTTGTGTCTAGAGATCAAGATCATCCTCAATCTCATGAGATATATGATGTGATCGAGGGTTTGGCTAAAGATATGAGAGGCGATTCGTATCTGACAACATTCCCAAATGTCACTCCAAGTTTGGAATTGGAGGAGTGACGAAGAATGCTAGTGAGTGACATTGAAGCAAATTGGAGATGATTCAAGACCTTAAAAGTGGGTAAGCTCGAAAATCTTCTCATTTCTTTTGCTTTCTGAAGCTCTGTGTTGGTGACATTGAAGCAAATCTTTATGTTCATAACACTCTTTGTTCATTATTGTCTCAGTTTATTGTTCTACTCTCCATTAGCTACGTCTGGACTCTGGATCCGATCCTTGAGAAAGCTACACTAGACATAAGACAGAAGATGGAGGTTTTACACCATTCTTTGCCACACATTGTACAGTTGGGTCTTTGGATCCAATATTACAAGCCGATCATGAAGAAGGCAGAAGAGAAACTGAGAAAAAAAAAAGAGATGTAGATAAAGAAATCAACACCATTGTTAGTTTCATTTCTCTCATCTTCATCACTCTACTATACTTACTCTTGTAAACCGAAATATCAATACAACAATAACACTCAAGTCTCTCTATAAGTTGACACATCAGATTTTTTAATCTTTGAGAAGCTGACACATCAGTTATTTTACAAACCAATCAAATTAAAACATTAATACAACTCATCTACTTATTTTAATTTTTAAATTTAAACCCATTAAAAAATCTAAATATATTTTTTGTTAATAATTTGTTTTATTTTTTAAAATATCAAAGCCCAAATAATAAACAACATCAAATAAAAAAAATATTTATTTTATTATTTGTCAAATCCAAGCTCAAATAATAAATAACAACAAATAAAAAAAATTAAATTTTTGTTTTGCCAAACCCAAATCCCAATAATAATTAACAGCAAATAAATAATTTTTTTAGCTATTTGTTTTTTCGACAGAGACATATGATTTAAAAAGTGTAGGCTCATCATCAACTATGTTTCCATAACAACAACGCAAAAGGCCTTATGTTATAAGAAGCTCACACATCAACAAAATTTTGAACCAATAAAAATATAACAATAATACATATCATTCACACACTAATAAAATCAGTTTACTATTTTGCAGACCCATTAAAAAGCCCAAAAGTTTACAAAAAAATGGAAGTAGAAAGCAAATGAGGAGAAGCTCAGACCACCATGACTTGGAGATTCGCATTTTCAGTGGTTACTCTGAACAAATTTTCATGGGTTTAGCTGGAATAGGGAATTCTTTGGTTTCGGTAGGAATATATGATTTTCAGTTTTGCTAGGAAAACATAATTTCTTGGTTATGACGGAAAAATGAATTATCGGGTTTGGCGGAAAATGTGAATTTTTGGTTTTGGTGAGAAAACAAAAAAATATATTAATTTTGACGCGAAAACCAAATATCTTAGTTTTGACGAGAAAATACGAGGGAAATGCAACTTTTCAATTGACAAAAATATGATTTCTTGGTTTTGATAGGAAATGCAAATTTTCAGCTTTTGATGGATAATGTGATTTCTTGATTTTTTTGGAAAAATGTGATTTTTACTTTTTGTGGGAAATTGTAATTTGAAGATTTTGGCGAAAAATGCAATTTCTCAGTTTGATGGGAAAACAAAATTTCTCGATTTTGGAAGGAATAAGCAATTTCTCGGTTTTGATGGAAAATACAAATTTTCAGTTTTTTGACATATAATGTGATTTTTTGGTTTTCGTGATAAAATACGATTTCTTAGTTTTCGCAGAAAACACAATTTCTCAGGAGATAAATACAATTTTTGGTTTCCGTGGAAAATTGTAGTTTATCAGTTTTGGTAGGAAGGCCTGATTTTTAGTTTGATGATTTTTTTTTGCGGGAATTGATGATTTCTCGGTTTTCATGGGAAAATAAATTTTTTGGTCTTAGTGAAAAAACTTGATTTCTGTATTTTGATGGGAAAACACAGGTTCTCACAGGAAAATATGATTTTTTAGTTTTTGCGGGAAAATGTAATTTATTTGTTTTGGTGTGAAAATGAAATTCCAAGTTTGACGAAAAAATGTATATTTTTGGTTTTGACAGGAATATGTGAAATGAAATTTTTTTGTTTTACCGGAAAGTGCGATTTCTCAGTTTTTTTTTAAATGGCAATTTGCTTTATATAATTTCAAAGGAGGATCAAGTGGCAATTTAATAGAGATAACAAATTATATTTGTCATTAGCATAAATATACTTAAAAATGTATTGTTTTATTCTTACATATACATTTCTAGATAGTTAACTACACAAATTTGATAGTAGATTATAATTTTAAAAAATAAAAAATATAAGGGTATATAATGTTTATTCATATTTAAAACACATAAATACATAATTTAAGCTAATAAAAAATAAATATAATACTGATTTATATTATAAAAATAATTTTATTATATTAAAACTATATACAAAATCTAAAAATATATTCTGCAGCGTAGCGCGGGTATATACCTAGTTATAATTAATTTTACTTTAAAAAAATTAGAATAAATGATGAAATGATCGAGTTAAGAAAAGAGGAATGCAATTTCACTTAAGGTTATGATGGGACCCACAATGTGCTTAGATTCATCCCCTCTTCCCAACCCATTTCTCACTCAGTTTTGTCATTTCTTCAATGTTATTTCCTTTTATTTTAATTTCCCTTTTGTCCTACGACATGATAGAATTATTCTCTTTCATTAACGTATGGATTTATCGTAAGAATCTGAAACCTATGAAAAAAAATGCAAAAAGACAACAAAACAAAAAATTATCATCTAAAAAGACATTCTATAAAATATTTGTTATCTATCGTGAATGCAAGGCATATATAGACATATATAGTTAACAATTATAATCATAATAATTAATATTCGCGCAAAGGAATTTTAAAGAAGGAAAAAAAAAAACGTTAAAGTAAGAATCTAGGCATGTTGGTAGCCTACCTTCACCAAAAAGCTTCCTCTGTTTCCGAACCAAAGGCAAGTTTGATTACTCGTATGATCCAATCAATAGTCTCTTCTCCATATTTTAATAATGTTCAAGATTTTTCTAGTCTTTAGGAAAATTCTCCTTCAACATATATTTCAATAATCTTAAAAAGCTAATCATTGAATACAAAGAAAAAAAAGCCAAATTTAAATTGTGAAAAGGAAAAGGTTTAATTACTGTTTTCCGTCTACAAGTCATATGATACTATGAAACTATTTGTGCCACAATATATATATATATATATATATAATCCTATTCTAATTTGGAAAAACTACATTCACATTCATTTCATGGTTGAATGTGTACAATAATCCAATAATAAGAATGCACAAGTTGGATGTAAGTTATTTGCTTCACGTATCCTCTATTTTATGCACGTTTTATAAAAGAAATTATAAAGTTGTAATTTATATTCATATTCTATCTATTTTATCGAGCTAATTTGGCAAAGCCTTCATCCATGTCTACAATCCAATAAGAATATATATTTCTTTGACTAGTATTTGAGAAAGATAAACTTTCACATGCACTTGAGAACTTCACGTGAAAATATTTTTTTATTACATAAATAGAATGCATGATACATTGGCATTCGAGTATATTGTTTAAATTAAAAGCCTAATAAGAAAAAATGGAGTTCAAAATCCATATGAATGATAATTATTTCTTAAAACATATATAGATTTGAAATGCAAGTATGCAACTTCAGTCATTGAATAAATACCTTTATTTAAGACCATGATAACGCTATAAACTTAAGCTAAAAGCCTAAACAAAAGATCATCAAATCTTAAATATGAAACGAAAAAACTTTAATATACAAAAGTCAAAGTTTTCATTCTATGACAAAGAAAGTCAGTACCTAACATTTCTGCCTTTATGCGAAAAAAAAAGAGAGGAAAAAAAAATATTCAAAAAGAATCCAATCGTTTTCTCATTGTAGCCTCGAAGAAGACGTATTACTATTCGTTGCCTCCTTAGACGACGGAGCAGAACCTCCTCCTCGTCCTCCTCCACCATCCACCGTTCCATACACACCGGAAACAACCGTGTTAGGGTTGTACCCAACGACGGGATTCACGTTGTTCAACGAGAACATATAAGGCCGTTGCGGTGGAGGCGGCGCGTGAGGCTGGAAATTATATTGCCAAGGAGTTTGATGGGAAGATCCGGCGGATGGATCCGATGAAGAGGTGAGGCTGAAACCGGAAGTTGTATTACCTGACCCGAAAGCCATAGCGGATGGACCGCCGGTGAATTGCTGAACCATGGCGCGGAAATTTGACGTGTCGGTGTTGAGAAGTGTTGTTGGTGTTCTACGTGAAGCTCTTGATCTTCTACGTGCCGGTTTAGTTACACGGCCGGTTTCTGGACTCAGACGAGAATCCATGGAGGTGGCTTCACCGGAGGGAGAAGCAGTGGTGGTGGTTGTGACGGCCGTTGAAGTGATGGTGGAAGCTGTGTAGAAAGTTTGGTTGTTGTTGTAGAACTGAGACCATTCGTTTGGGTTAGCCATTTTTGTGTTTTGTGTCTAAAGACTGTTTGTGTGAGATTGTGTAAGAAAGAACAAACGAAGCAAAAGCCTTTGTCTTCCTTATTTATTTGAGATTAATTTTGATTCGACTTAGTCAAAAGGAAGACTATTCTAAAACTTTCAATCAATCGTGACCGTTTATTAAAAAACGTTTTCATTACACATAAATCTTACGTTAATCTTCTTTTGTGTCTAATTGATCAAACTATTTTTTAAAGCTTACTTTATTAATTTGATTCAATATTATCATATGATTTTGAAAAAAATAAAAATAAAATAATGGACCTCACGAAGTTACATTTTAGTTGAGTTTTACCAATAAACAATAGGAATTAAGTTTGGTATTGGCTACTTTCCTAACAAGTTGACGAAATTGGCCCATTTTACTGTATGCATATTCTTTTATTAAATACTAAATAAGTCCCTCACTTTACATAATCGTCACATAGCTGACGGCATATTTTCTGTACGTTCTTGCTAACCGAAACGTTAATATATTCATCACTCATATAATTATATAGCATTGCCTGCTTAGTGCAGTAGCCGTATTATATAAGCACGAATTAATAACGACGGTCGTACGATAATAAAGATGATGCTGAAATTTGCTATATATTAGTACCACATGCATGTATATTATTTATAAAATATATCCTATATAATACACCGACAATATTTTGTTCAACACATAAACATACTGATAAGCCTGTAAGGCTGTTTTAATCAGCGACAACGAATGATTAGTCAAATTACAAAAATAAATAATTTCCGTATGCGAAACTTAAGACAGAATAAGGTCGTCAACAAAAATAAATCTAGAAGATTGAGGTAAGAATAATAATTAATTTAACCATGATGTATATGATAGTGTTCTATATTCTCAAATTGTCGTAAGAAATTCAGGATATGTCCTAGTGTGTTGGATACTTTCTTCACTCTTGCCTACTATTGATTAGTTTAGATTAAGATTATTCAAATCCACTGTGGTAATAAACTAAAGAAAGATTAATTACTACTTGTGTTTCCATTACGCAAATTGATAGGAAGAAGTGGACATAATTTAATTGACGGGTTAGGTTAGGTGACTTTTAATCAAGGGACGACCAAAGAGGAAACTTCAAAGAAAACCATAATCTCATTCTCATCGTTCTCTTTTGTTAAACTTTTTGCATTAATCAAATATATAACATGTTTGTTTAGGGAGAGACAGAATATATTTCCCATTTTCATATTTCATATTTGGTATGTACTAAAAATTTGTAGTAAATTTCAAGCGTTTTAAGTCTTTAGACAGATCCTTGGGACCAAAGAACAAAATCAAATACCATTTCGTATTTGTTTCAAGAATTGATCCGATCACAAATTCAAGAAACACGTGATCAAAAGAATTAACAAAGGGTTTTTACAAATAGAGAATATTCTCTAAACGCTGTTTTTCTCCCTTCTAAAAGCGAAACATTCAATGATCAAAGCTTGGGATCATCATCAAAACTAATACAAACACAAATAATATTAACAGAAGCGAATCTCCGGGGATCATAACCGAAACAATACAACATCCTATTTAACAATTGAGCAGATAAAAAAAAAACAGACCATGCTCCTGTTCTGTTCCAAAACCTTGGTTGAGAAAATGAGTTTCTCTCAATTCTTGTTGGCTTCTTCTGTTCTACCGAGAATTTTGCATCTTTCATCCACAGACACTTTTGAGATTCGATTCGTGCTTAGGTTACAGTTTGGTTCATGAGTGTCTAGATGCGTCGTCATGCAACTGCGTAGTCCTCACATTAGGATCATCCTATATTGAAACATGAAGATAACCACTTATTACAAACACGAAAAGCCAAAAAGTGATAAATCTGTTGTTAGAAAACTGAGAATTTACCCGGATATCGTAAGAAAAATTGGGGGGCCGGAAGAAATCTACTCCCTAAGAAAGTTAAAAAGAGTAAGAATGATCATTGAGTTTGTTTTTGCAGAGTCTTGTAAGAGATTTTGGACATTTGCTCTTGAAAGAGTTGAGAATTAGGTTTACCTGTCCATGGATGCCTTGTTGAGCAGTGTAGTAACTGTCGTAGCTTGGCGCTATTGAGTTCAACTGTCGCTACAGAAAACCAACCAAGGATTTTTGTTTCTTCATCCAAAAGTTAATGTAAAGAAAAAACAGATTAGGTGTGATGGTCGATGTTCATACCAATCCTTGAATTGTTTGTTGATTCCCATAGAAATTATCACGATTTGGCGCCATTAAGTTCAGCTGGACCTGTAATAATAATATCAAACCGTATTAGATGCAACAATCTCAGTCTATAAGAGCATAACATGCAAGTATTGTTGTGCTTAGTTACCATATTCTGCACGCTCTGCTGTGTTCCATAGTAACTTTCTATACCAACTGTCCTTGGGCTCAGCTTATCCTGCAATAAATTCAAATTCAGATATCACAATACTTACGAGACTCTAGTTTCAACAGAGGCTTTGCTACGACATGTTAACAAAGACAAACCATCTGTTGCAAGCTTTCTGGTGCTGCCACTGGCATAACCTCCTGCTCTGAGTTAACCTGAAAAAACCGTAGTCGGGATCATAAGACTAGCAAAGCTAAGAAAAAACCTTTAAGTTGGCACAGAGAGATCGTAAAGCAAGAATATACTTTTCTTTTCTTAGTTGGATTCTTTTTCTTGCTAGTCTTGCCTCCACTTCTGCTCTGATTATCATCCTCGACGGAAATCAGACCTTGAGTTGGTGAGTTAACCACATCTGGAAGACTTCTGCCTGAAGTATTCACATTAGCACAGTTTCCCAAAGCTTCTTCAATAGCAAGGAAAGCAATATTGTAACTCTCTTGAGAGAAAGATGCTTCTTCGTTCAGCTTTAACACTCGCTGGCACAGATCGTTATACCGCTGCAGCCTAGTCTGCAACTGCTGAGGTTCTCCAGAAAAATGGCGGCTTTTTGCATCTTTTGTCCACCGTTTCAATATGTACTGCGAAGGGATGGAAGAAAGATGACAACACTGAAGGACGTTAAGCGTGTGTCTGCAGAGATAGCCTTTGTATTCAAATAACCGACAGATGCAAGAGACTTCAGCCTTTGCTTGGTTCCATGTCACAACGAAGTCCTGGTTGTTTTCGAAATCCTGAACTCTAAAAGTAGAGCACGTTGCATCTCGGTTTTCTTCCCTGGGACTACACGCGATTGCACCCAATACTTCAATCTGGAACTTTTTGAATACAGCAGGAGTGTAGACTTCAGAAACACTCTTCTCGAACGGCGATGGAGACTTCATTGCTGGCTGCTTGTTCCACGTTTCGGAATCCGCTTTGGCTTCCTCTTCGCATCTATCCAGCAAAATTGTCTCATACAGTTTCACGAATTCTTGTACGCTAGTCTTCTTGTGCAAGTACTTGTCGAAGAAAGCATTGATACTATCAGCTCTTTGAGGCGTAGACATCCCTGCCAAAAGAACATCAGTCATGTAGGTCGGTGCCCATTTCCTGCGGTCTTCATATAACGACTGCATCCACTGATCTTCTTTGAGGCCGAATCTAGCAAGAATCTTCCACCATCTTCTCGCAAAGTCTTCCTCCTTCCATGATTTATAGATGCACTTCTCGAACTTTGGTGTAAAACTCTCATGCTGCTTAGCAACTTGACCGAGATTCTCAGAAACCTTAAGCAACACATGCCAAAGAAAAAGACAATGTTGGGTGTTGGGGAAGATCTCGGGGACAATGGAGTTGAACACAGCGTCTTGTTCAGTGATCAAAACCTTTGGAGCTTTCCCACCCATCGCTCTCAGCCAAGTCTCCATCAACCAAGAAAACGTTGCTGGACTCTCGTCGGATATCAACGCACACCCAAGAACCATATACTGGTAATGCTGGTTCACTCCAACAAAGATAGCAAGTGGCATCTTGTACTTGTTTCTAACGTAGGTGGTGTCTAGAGAAACAACATCACAGAAACTGCCGTAGTTATGCCTGCTCTTCGCATCTACCCAAAACACATTCTTCACTCGCTGATCATCGCCGAGATCCACCGCATAGAAGAAGTTGGAGTTCAAAATCTGCATCCGTGACAAGAAGTCAAGCAGGGCTTTGTAATCCCCTGCCTCCACTGACGAATTACGACCTTTCTCAAACGGACTCTTCGGGTCGCTTTTCAAGCTGATCACAGTTTTGTACTCAGCAAACTGTTTAGCCATAGCAGCATATATCTTTCTAGTCTGTTCACTCACGGCTTGTGCGGGCAAAAGCGGATGGTTATGCTCCCTCACAAAGCTGTGAATCACCCATTTCCCATCAGGCCTCCTCTTAACATGCATACTGGCTTTGCAGTCAGTTTTCGAGCAAGTTCTTCGACCGGCCATGTTCTCGGGGTCTTGCTTGCACTGTCTAGCTCGCGGCCGGCTAAAAGCCTTGTCATACTCTCTTTTAGCACCATACCTAGAGCAAGCGAACTTCGCATCGATGAACTCTCTCGTGGTCTTTGATCTACGGCTGTTCTGTATCGCGGTGTTGAACCCAATCGCTCGTGAGTACTCCTGGTAGAACGAATACGCTTCACCGTGCGACTCAAACTCCATACCGTTGAGAGGTTCGAGGTTCATACCCTCCGTGTACTCAACAAGGTCACCCGTTGGAGCACCACCAAGGCCTGCACTACTGTCGTCGGTGTGTACCTCGACGGTGACATCCTCGATTTTGCCAATATCCATGTCTTCATCAGCTTCACCAAGCTTGTGCTCATCCTGCAAGACATTATCAAGCCCCCTTTCTTCATCACCTTCCTTGCAGAGGTCACCTGAATGTAGCCGAAGATCTATATCCATGTTCTGAAGAAGCAGACTTTCCTGCAACACCTGGAGAAATCTAAGGCATGAGGTATACACATCTTTAGGTCAAAACGTGTGATTATAACAAATGTGTATGCTTTTTGTTATTGTAATTGCAGAGAAAGTAAGTAACTTGGAAGCTAAATTTCATAAAGGTTTGATTTTTTCTAATCATCGCAGGTTCTCTAATACATACCCTCGAATCTGATTCAAAAAATTGATGGGAAACAAGAAGAGAAGCTGATCAAAGACTGTATATGTATTTGAGGTTTCACTTAAAGGAAACGGAAATGGAATTACCTCGTATGAAGAAGAACAGATAGATTCGAGGTAGTAGTAATCTCGTCGCGAGGAGGAAGAAGACGATTCGAGGAAGAAGAAGCACGCACGCGCCAATCGGTGCGAGTTGGCGTTTCGATCTGCGAAAAGGGGGATGAAGAGATTGAGAAGAGGGAGAAAGAGAGGAAAAGATGTGTGGTGTTCACGCGATCTGAGGGAGCGAGTGGGCGGAAGGAGAGGCACGGTTCTTCTTTTTCGTTTCTAGGGTTTCTCTCTGTCTAAACGCAGCACCATGTTTGATATCCCTCTCTCTCTCTATTAAAAAAATAAAAAAACAATTTTTAGTTCGATATTTTCCCCACTACGCACGCGTTGCGCGTGCCAACACTTCCCTGGTTATTTAGATTGAAGCGTGAATAATGGTATCATGAATATACTATATAGACTAGACTTAGGCTTTTAAATGGTTGGTCCACGATCGATTACGATTGTACTGTTTTCGAATATTTAATAAAAATTTAGCTTATGATTTTTTCACGATATATACATATTATATAAGTATAAAATTGAAATATTTGTCAAATGATTAGCTTACGAATAAAGAAAAATTCAGCTAGATTTTTTTCTATATATTATTTATTTTTTAACTCAAACTGATAAGGTCACAGAGCAAATTTAACTAAAAAACCGAGTTTCCTCCCAAAAAAAAAAGAGTTTTGTTAGGTAGCAAGCAATTACAATTGTTTTTCTCATTTTATAATCTGTTCTTCAATAAGGAAGAAAACAAAAATTGTGTTTGTTAGTGTTGAATGGTTTTGATTGAATATTCATACAGAAAATCAAGCTTATGAAAATGAAACTGAATGCTTTGTTTTTTAGTTGAATGCTTTATGTGTATGTTTTTTTTTTAAAACAACATAATAAGTTTTTTATTTTTATTTTGTAAGCTTCATCCTCCTTATTCATCTTTATTAGTTAAATTGAAACCGGAAAGGTTAACATTTTGTACATATATTAGTAGAATTATAGTCAACGAAAGTAGTCGTAAATCGTAATGTACAAGTTGGGTCAACCCTGCAAGAGTCAGAGGAAGACGATATTTTCTCAGTTACTTTCCTTTCTTCCATCTTACAGCTAAAATCCCGTTCCCGCGAGCAACACTCTTCGCTTTGACCATCCCGGCGGTGGAAACGGCGACGTGGCGGAGGCGTTGTCGGGGTTAGGAGTTTCGATTGGCTAACTGGAGAAAAGGTATGGTGAGGAAACACGGCTGGCAACTTCCCGCTGACACACGTCAGGTAAATCGATTTGTAACCTTTCTCCGGCGATTTCATCGAACTCGATTTCGCACCATTCTCGTCGACGACTGTATCTAGAATCTGGTCAATCGAAACTCACCAATGGTTGTGAAATGTAAAATTGACGATCGAAATTGGTTTTTGCCAGGTGATTGGCATTACGGTGTTCTGCTTATTGGTGGTCGCTTACTATACGTTCTTCGCTCCTTTCGTCGGAGGTCGCATTTGGGAATACGTTCTGATCGGTGTTTACTCTCCTGTGGTTCGGTTTAATGCTTCTCATGCTGTTTGTTTACTTCCCAATCTAGTTAACCTTCGAGATGATCCAGAGTTTTAGGTTCCATAGCTATGCGCTTGAGCATCTGAGATAGAAAATAGAGATGATGATTATAAGTGTTGGTGGATTATGTGTGTTGCAGGCTCTTGTTGTTTTCGTTCTGTATGTTCGGTGTACTGCAATCAACCCTGCGGATCCAAGAATAGGTATTGACGGAGCTGGTTTGGCTCATGCCTTATCGGCGAGAGATATCTCCAGGAGTTTTGATGAAACTGGCAGTCAGTTGCAGTATTCTCCTTCAGCTGTCTCCAGGAGCTCTACCTTAGCAGCAAACTCTAGTGTGAAAGGCTCTGTAGAAGATGCTCAAAGAGTGGACTCTGTTCCTAGAAAATCCTGCTATAATCCTCTGGCGATCTTCTGTTGCTTGTTTGTTCTTGAAGACTGCTGGAAACAGGAAGCGACGGCTGAACAACATGGAAACAGCGGAGAGGCTGTGTATTGCACATTGTGTAACTCTGAGGTATAGTAACATGGTTTCAAGATTCAGAAAAGCTACATCAAGTCCCTATGGTCAACTTGTATCTTTCATGTGTGCATGTATGCATGAGCAATAGACAACAACTAAAATTTGCTTGCTATAGGGAAGGAGTTTTGCTTCAGATTTTTAAATATGTACGTCTTTTTTTTTGTTCTGAACTCTGTATGTTTCGCAGGTACGTAAGTTCAGCAAGCATTGTCGGAACTGTGATAAATGTGTTGATGGTTTCGATCACCATTGCGTGGTAAACTTTCTGATGTTTTCGAATGTTTTTTTTTTTGTTTACAAGTAGTGGCTCTTTTCTGGATATTTTACTGGATTTTAATGGGTTCAGTAGATGACATTAGTTGTAATAAATGCTACAGTGGCTTAACAATTGCGTCGGCCGCAAAAACTACATGACTTTTGTCTCTCTGATGACTGCCAGCCTTCTTTGGGTAATGTATATGCCTGTATTTGCTATTTCTTGAACTTATTTTCTCACTTAACCACTGACAGGTTATGGTTTCTACCTCAGCTCATTATTGAAGCAGCAGTGGGAATTGCAGTTATTGTGCGTGTATTCGTTAATAAGAAGATCATGGAAACAGAAATTGTCAATAGACTCGGAAATAGCTTCTCTCGAGCACCTTTAGCGGCAGTTGTTGTAAGTATTTTTGATGTTGTGGCGTTTCTTTTAAGGTGAGCTCCTGTTTCCTAATGACAATATCTGCAAATTTATGTAGGGTCTTTGCACTCTTGTTACCATTCCGGCATGCTATCAACTTGGTGAACTTCTCTTTTTCCACATGCTGCTCATTAAAAAGGTCAGTAGGAAAAAAGGTAGCTCTGATTTTAGTTGCTTATAACACTGATTTATTTTTCTTAACGTAAGATTAAGATATCGTGCCAAGACTTTTTAAGATAGAAGTGAGTAGCACAAGAGATCCACGCTCTACATAGTAGTGAGTTTGAACTTAGATTATTTTGGTTAATTGTCTTATATCTTGATGTCACCTGTATGTTACACATAATTATAACCATCTGAATCATTCTCCCGAACTCGTTTCCCAATTTAGAAGCTCTAACTACGGTATTAAACTTTTGTGCCTACAACTTTGTTTATAACTTGCTGATGGCATGTTCCAATATAAGCAATGTGAACTTCTTTGGGCAGGGAATTACAACATATGACTATGTTGTTGCAATGAGAGCCATGAGCGAGGCTCCAGATGGAGCATCCGTGGACGAGGAAATTCAGGATGTGCTCTATTCTCCGACCGGGTCTGCCACAACCGGGTTTAGTGGTGGAAGCTCTCTCGGTCCACCATACAGAAAAGGGGTCTGGTGCACTCCACCTAGAGTGTTTGCTGATGATCAGGTATTATCATTTACTACTTTTAAAAATAAAACGATGTTCATGTATTGAACTTTCCAGTTCCAACACTTTATAATCTCTATCACAGGATGAAGTCAAGCCCCATTTAGACACTCACATGGCCCCGTCGACCTTAGATCCAGATGCATCGGAGAGAGGCATCAAGGCTCCGAAAAGACCCGTCAAACGTAGTGCATGGAAGCTCGCGAAGTTGGATGCAAACGAAGTTGCAAGAGCAGCCGCGAGAGCCAGAGCATCTTCATCTGTCCTAAGACCGATAGATAATCGCCGTTTACCTGATCTTGACCTTAGTTCCATTGGCACGGTCAGTGTCATCAGTAGCGTAAGCGCAGATGCAAATGTGGCTGCAAGTAGAGCGATACAGAACAATGATCTAAGGTCGTCTGCTTCTAGAAACTCGTTTGCTCCAAGCCTAAATAGCCGGGATGAGTACGACACAGGGAGCCACGGAATGAGCAATTTCAGCAGCCCAAGCCATGTTCACGGGTCTGTCACACTTGCTCCTCTCCCTAAAAACCCTACAGTAATCGACCATCGGTTCAAAGCAACAAACCATCACACGCACTCGACGTTTGATGAAAAGGTGATGCAGAGAGGAAACAACGGCGGAGTTGATCCACTGTTTCTCTCCGCTCCTTCAACTTCCCTTCTCAGAGATGTGAGAAAGACATCAGTTGTTTGGGATCCTGAAGCTGGCAGATACGTATCATCAGCTCCTGTAACGACGACACTGCCTGAAGTCCGCAACAGATTGACAAATCCAAAACCAATTCTTCTACTTCAAGATTCATCTTCTGCTCCTCTTCCTCTGCAGCAAGCCGAGAGAAGACTGACATATACAGGTGACTCTATCTTCTTTGGAGGACCTCTGGTTAATATCCCGACGAGAAACAACCCGAGAAATGAAAAGAGTTTGGTAAGAGAAGGACAAGAGAGATTGGCATCGACACTTCATCGAGATGCAAGACTCAGAAGAGATTCAACCTCGAACCAGCTTCCTGTGTTTGCCCCTGGAGGTCTTGGAGCAAACTCGCATCACGGTTATAGCATCAAGTAGATAAACAAAGATGATCTCGTACAAAAACGCCTTCCCAATTCCTGGAGAGGCTCAAAATCAATGGAACTGTTCCTGTTTGATGCAGGAAGATTGAAATTCAGCTTCTAAGTCTCTGGAATTTGCGCGAAGTTCGTAGTTATTTATCGTTGTTAAATTATGTGTTTTTGTTTGGTTTCTTTCCAAGGATTCGACCTTCTTGTTAGCTAAAAAACAGAAATGTCAGTCACTTTTTTGATTCTTAACAAGACCATCCATGTATAGATTATTAGACACACTTCTTCTTTCTCGTATTCTCTTCGCTTTGTATGACATTTTCTTCCCCTGCACTTTAGTTAATCACTTATTATGCCGCTTTGAATGATAAGATAATTATCAAAAGTTTATCACTCTTTCGAAATGAAAAAAAAAAAAAACGGTGTACAACAACGTACTATATATACTTAAATTGGGAAGAGGGCCATGAGCATCATGGTCCGTTTCTCCCAACAAAAAAACTGTTTCACAAATATACCCCAAGCACCTTACTTAAAATAGTAACACTACTACTTACTGATCCATACATGAATCCATAGAGAATCATGGACAAAAATAAGATGATGGCTTAACATAAATAACGACAACAATGAAAGACGCCAATACGACGTTGTTCTCTTCTTTGATTGATGAACCAAGCAGCTCTCTCAACTCTGAAACCAGTTGTGTTCTCCCATGTTTTTTTTTTTTGTCTATGTCTTTTTCTTTCCTTTCATCAGAAAAGCTGTGTATGTACAGGGACGATGGAAGAGATTGATTTGGGCTTACAATTCTTAGAGCTATGCAAGCCTCTGTTTTATTGGATCCGAGTTACGTCTTTTCTGTTTTTGAGCAGATTTCTCCTCAGCTACTTTCTGAGATGTTGGCGTGAGTTTTCCCATTCTGTTGGCTTTTCCTGCTCAACAATATTCACAAGTTTAGACTCTAAAGGACAATCTAAAGGACAATGGAAAGCAAAACAGAGATTGACACTAATCACAATGTTGATTCATCAATCATGAAAAATGGAAAAGGAGGCGTCGAGAGAGAGATAAAAAGATGTCTGACCACTGTTTGGCAGAGATAATCGTTCCTTCGAAGATCTAATTGGCTCTCTTGATCTTTCTTTCGGGTTGCTATGCGATCTTGGACCAGCACCAGGTCTTGAGTTAACTTCTACAGCAAGATCGTCTTTAGCTGGCTTTGACCTTGCCTTGGACACCACTGGAACGCTTGAAGATACTCCAGGAGACGACGAATTACCATCAGACAGAGATGGCCCCGTTGCCTTCTGATTCGAAACACCGGATACAAGATTCGAAGTGTTTGGCATCATCTTGCTCGTTTTGTGCACATTCTCAGGCTGTTCCATATTGCTCTCACCTAACTTCGCATCTTCCCTGAGGTTACTGTCAAGAAACCGATTCTCCCATGGACGAACAGCCATCCATCTTTCCAGCCAGTTCCATCCCCAGTTGTTTTTGTCTGGTTGAAATCCACTGTGTGCAGACAACTGCCTAGTTCCTGCTTGCCACTACAAGAGAACAATATGTATGTAAGATAAAGAAAGATCCTTTTTACAGCCACAAAGAAACATCAGAACCGGAAACTGTTGACAGGGATGAGATGAGGCTACTGGCATTGCAGAGATTGAGCAATCAAGAACAAAGGTCCCTGGATCAGATAGGATACATTTTTATGGTAAGAGAATAAATATAAGAGTTCAGGCTCATTTTTGCTAGTCATAGTGTTTGGTTAAAGACTGGTCCTATCAGATTAGACTATTCGGAAAACAATGTTATGATTGGTACAAAGTGAGCATATTTTTCTCAACTAGCATAAAGGTTGTGACTTGTGAGTAACCTGGTGAGTCAAAGCATATGCCATAGCCCTCTCACGCTTAGCTGCAGCTTCCTGCCTCTTTAGAAGCTTCGCTTGGATTTGTTCAACAGAACCAATGCTATCACACCAACCTTCCTGAGAGATGACAACACATATTCGATTCTAGCTACAGAAGTTACAAGGCCATATAAAGTTTGTAACATAACTGAGACAAAGTGATCATATCACCTCTATTTCTCGAACTCGAGCTTCATCTGCTAACTGTTGCTGAAATGCCTGCTGACCAGTTTCACTTTCCAAGGCGAGACGAACACGCCTTGCTCGTACACGAGCCTGAACTCTCACTAACGCTTGCATACATCGAAGCGTTACAGCTGCTTGTTTCCTCACAGCGTGTCCTCTCACAAGAGCTTGTAGCCTAACCAATCCTTTCAACGCTCGTAAAGCCCTTCTAGCCTGAGAAATGTATCATCTTTGTTATCAGTCAACTCAAAGCCATTAAAAGGAAAACATGCAATAGATATATAAGACTATTAAGAAGCCAAAAAACAAAAACGATCAAAACTTATACCAGAAACCCTCGATAAGCTGTTTGGATCCGTGTTGCAGCTTGATGTTCTTTCCTTTGCTCTTCATAAGCAGCACCGTATGATTGTAGTGAAGTTGAAGTAGAGACTCCAGCATCTTCGAATCCATCTTGGAGATTTTCAGCGTCGAAATCAACTGATTGCTTTCTCCCAAACCGGCTCTTGCTGGGAATCTTCACCTTCATCAGTTGAACAAACTTATAATCCAAAAATGGAGTTTTATACATCTATTTTAACCAATAGCATATAGAGAAGTGTACTTACATTTTCATCTTTTTTTGAAGACCTTGACTTATCAGATTTCGTGAAACCAACCAATGCTTTAATCCATCTCCCCGAAGCACCCATTGTATCAAATTTTCAACGATCAGCAAAAGAGAACAACAACCACCTGCAGAATCGCATTTAGCAACTGAATTATTCAAAAAGTCAAAACAAAGATGGTAACTTTCTGTTTTGGGTTTAGTTAATAAGTAATTGAATACACAAACAAGGAAACTCAATTGAGTCGGACACAATGATGGATCCCAAAATTCAAAACTACAAAATTTAGTGACAAACACTGAATCAACAATAAAAAAAACCCATAATTTACAAGAAGCTCTGGAATTGAGATAAAGAGGTGCTCGAGAAGAAGGAAAGAGGGTAAAATTAGAAACTTTACCGGCGGCGAAGGGAAGATCGGCCGATGAGATCTCCAGAAAAAGGGTGTTAGAGTGAGTGATCTTTCCTCTTCAGTCACTGACCGTCTTTCTCGCCTACTTTATTCTCTCTCTCTCTCTCCCCCCAAAAAGTCCATTCCTTTCTCTCTCTCTGTGTGAAAGATTACAGATAGGACTTGACTTGCTGAAAATTGATTTATCGTTTCGTTTCCCTCTCCTCAGATACGAATCAATCATGGATAGATTGCACGCCGTCAGGTGCTAATTTGCGCCGGGGTAACCTGAACTTGTCAGCGTTTATTGACCTGTAAAACGGCAAGCAGTTTACTATTCAATTTATTGATTTTTGGTGTAGCATATATATTTTTTTTTACAATTGGGTATAAAAGTGTAGCATCATATATTGAATGTTAAATCATTAATGCATGCTAGTAACTATATAAGATTTAAATAATAATATCTGAATAAGAATACAAAATTTTCTTTATCTTTTTTTCTTTGGTCAATTTTTTTTTTCTTTTTCTTTATCTTATGTGACGTGTTGTTGTCATCTATGATATGATGTGATTGATTTTGTAATGTTTATAATTTTTGAGAGATCATCTTTTGCTTGCTTTTCTCTGTCGACATCCTTTTTTAATAAAAATATTATTTTTATATTATTTTCAAATTTTTGATAAAATTACAGAAAAAACCTAGAAAACAAAGAGATAAAAAAATTAAAATATGAAAATGTAATTTTTTTTAATATTAAATATAAAGTGTAGTTACAAACAGAAACGAAAAAGTACAATAAACAACAAATTATGTACTTATTGTAGCTGATCATAGATTCCGAAAAATTGGAAATTTACATTTGCAATTGTTATATTATTTTGATGCATTGGTAAAAAAAAAGTATGCAAATCTTTTACAAAAAAAGAAAATATGTAAATCTTTGTTTTGATGCATTGGTAAAAAAATATGCAGCTAAAATGGTAATCAATCATTAAAAGGCAAAAAGTTAGAACTACTAAAAATGATATCACCAACATTTGTCTTCTTGTTGCTACTCTTTTAGTGCTTTTAGTTATTTTGTAATTTCTTTCCATCAGAAATTTCATACAATATTGAACACTCGTCAGATTTTAAAAAGGATATTCCCTACGAACTTCAATTTAATATGTAGCCAAGTTTGGAAACTTCTTTTCTAGTGGTTGGCCTAGTTGGTGCGATTTAATTATGGTAATAAATTGCTAAATATGGCTGCCTGAATGATTTTTTATATCAATAAAACTAAATTAGATTATAATAAAATGACTCAATGCCACGTCACTGGTAAAAATCAAATGGAACTCAAAGAGATAATAATAAAAGATATTATTTTGATTAGCCATCTTCATGATTCATTGATTTGATCCTCTGTTTTATTAAACCAAATCTCAACACTCGTCACTCTCAAACAATCCAGGATTCCTACACAATCATCTTTCTCTGATCCTTTCTTTCTCTCTGTTTCTTCCTCCGAGATATGGCCGTAATCAACAGCCTCCGTCGCTTGGCTCGTACCACTCAGGTTTTCTCCTCGAACTCTTCAACTTCTTCTTACTCGTTTTTTTCCCGATGATCTCATTGTTTCCAGATAGATGATCATCGATTTCTTTTAACTGAATCATCACCGGAGCTAGATAAGTTTCCACCGAATCAAACCCAAATCATAAGTGTGTTCTCTCGTCACTCGTCACCAATCGATTTGTCGTCATTGTGCATGAAACCCATCTGCGTTTCGCTTAGTAGATCAGGGATTCAGAAGAACATTGAAATGCAAAAATTGGATATTCTTTTCACAAACACCAAATTGATTGACCTGAAAAAGTCGGGCATCTTTTTGGGGATTCTCCAGTAATCATGGAACAATTTTTTTTTTAAATTATATACTTAACCCAAATAGTGATTGAAGGAGATTCTCTGGAATTCATTATATGTACTAACTCAAATAGTGATTTTGATTCATCATTCATAGCTCAAGCTCATATCTTTCCTCTCATGGCAGGTTAATTTGCAGAGCAGGTATGCTGTTTCTTCCAAATACATGTCTGGGAACTGCAGCTCAAGGATCTTCACTACAGAGGCATCACCAGAGAAGCAAAACCCAGCTGGGTAAGTTTCCAGTGATCTCTCATGCTTCAGCGTCAAAGAGACAGTGAATAGTGGAAATGTTTTTCTTAAGAGCTTCATGAAAATTCTGAGCAGGTCTAAAGGGCATGATATGCTTGCACCTTTTACAGCTGGATGGCAGAGTGCTGATTTAGATCCTTTGATCATAGCAAAATCTGAGGTATATATCATAGATGTTGATTTTTTAACAGTTATGTTTAAGTGTGACATTTTCATCTTTCATTCTTTATTCATGTTGACAGGGAAGCTATGTGTATGATGACCATGGGAGAAAGTATCTTGATTCTCTAGCTGGTCTATGGTGTACAGCTTTAGGTTCTTTTCTCATTTATCCTTCCATTACACTGCACACGACTTGATATTGGTGTCGAGTGTAAGATTATTGATGCTCATAATCTTGCAGGAGGAAATGAGCCACGGCTTGTTTCTGCTGCTATGGAGCAGTTGAAAACTTTGCCGTTTTATCACTCCTTTTGGAACCGTACTACTAAACCTTCTCTGGTACTCACACATTTCCTTTTGGTGTGATTATTATATCGTCTTTTCTACAGTCTGCTGCTACTACGTTCTGTGTACTGGTAAGACTCAGTGCAGTATACTTGATGGGTAATCAAAGAGAATTTGATCACTGTGATGTTTATTTTTTTTTGCAAAACAGGATCTTGCTACGGATCTTTTGGAAATGTTCACGGCTAACAAAATGGCCAAAGCATTTTTTACAAACAGTGGATCAGAGGCCAACGATACACAGGTTTGAGGTTTCCATAACTATACGCCGTACCTTGATTTTCTAAGATGTCGGCCTATAAGAGTTGCTTATAAATGTCCCTTTATGTAAATGCAGGTTAAGCTGGTTTGGTATTACAATAACGCACTTGGAAGGCCCGAGAAGAAAAAATTTATCGCCAGAAACAAATCGTGAGAAAAAGGATATTTTGATTGTCATTTTGTGTCTGTCTTTTTCTATAAGATCTCAAAGTTTTTATTAGTGAGGTTGTACGGTTTCAGGTACCATGGCTCCACTCTAATATCAGCAAGTTTGTCCGGGTAAGATGAATAAATACAGTTCCTTAGAAGTGCTAAAGATTCGTTTCTTTTTTTCCCTAACAAATCTATTCCCTTATTCCAGTCTTCCAGCACTGCACCAAAACTTTGATTTACCTGCACCATTTGTGCTGCATACAGATTGCCCTCATTATTGGCGTTTTCATCTTCCAGGTATGAATGATTTCTAAAGTCCGTTTTTGAAGTAAAAGTAATCTTTGATTTTAACCTTGGAATTGTTTGTCCCAGGCGAAACGGAAGAGGAGTTCTCAACCAGATTAGCCAAGAATTTAGAGGATCTTATCATCAAAGAGGGACCAGAAACTGTAAACACTCTATAATTACTGACAGAAATTTCGGTATTTATGCGTTGAAGATGATGTTGGCATCTCAATCTAACACAGATGTCTTCTTACTAGATTGGTGCTTTTATCGCTGAGCCAGTCATGGGTGCGGGAGGTGTGATACCTCCACCTGCTACCTACTTTGAAAAGGTCATTTTCGAAAATTTTGGTGGTATGATTATGCGGTTTAGTGGTTAGATCACTGTGGTTGTGATATCTGGCTCCTTTGTTTACCGGGTTGTTTTTTTCTTTCTTTCTGTGGTGCAGGTTCAAGCTGTAGTTAAGAAGTATGATATCCTGTTCATTGCTGATGAGGTATGTTCGTATCTAGTTGAACCTTGTTTAATATCAGTCCACACACAAGACCATCTTGAAACCAACTCCAAAATCGATCAAAGAAGAAAAGATATCATAAACTGTTTGTATTTTTGTTTGGCCTATAAGGTGATATGTGCATTTGGAAGGCTCGGGACAATGTTTGGCTGTGACAAATACAAAATCAAGCCAGATCTTGTGTCCTTAGCTAAGGTGAGAGATTATGGAAGATGATGAGAAGCCTTTTATCTCTGTTGACAAATTTGCACGTATACATGTTGTAAAATGTTTTAATATATGCAGGCACTATCTTCAGCATATATGCCGATTGGTGCCATTCTTATGAGTCAAGAAGTAGCAGATGTCATTTACTCTCAAAGCAACAAGCTAGGTACTTATTTTAGTAATCTTCACCGTTGTAATATTCCAATGTTCTTATCTTAAAATGCTGATTAATTTTGTATTATCTCAGGTGCTTTCTCGCACGGATTTACTTATTCTGGTCATCCAGTTTCATGTGCTGTAGCAATTGAAGCGTTAAAGATATACAAGTAAGTTTGTCACTTTGCTCGTTCATGCTAGTGAGCCGGGTTTTAATTTGTGTAATTTGCCAAAAATTCAAAACCTGTCTCACACACAGGTGATTAGTTTTCTCGTTTCTCTAATCTGCACTTTTGATTATCTCATATTACAGGGAGAGGAACATACCAGAGCATGTCGCCAAAGTTGCCCCAAGGTTCCAAGATGGTCTTAAAGCTTTCTCAAAGAGTAGTCCTATAATTGGAGAGGTATAGTATCTCTTGTTCATTACTCACCAGCTTTTCTTTTGAAGTATTTGACTGAGCATTTGGGAATTTTGTGGTCGTTTTTCAGATAAGAGGAACGGGTTTGATTCTAGGGACCGAGTTTGCAGACAACAAATCGCCAAACGAACCATTTCCTCCAGAATGGGGTAAAGTCTCTCTCTTTCTCATGACCAAACCAAAACAAAAGTCTCTCTTCTCCTCTCCTAAGAGCTCATTACATTACTAAATCTGTACACCGTTTTCAAATGATGTTTAAAGGTGTTGGTGCATACTTTGGAGCCGAGTGCCAGAAGCGTGGGATGTTAGTTCGTGTTGCAGGTGATAGCATAATGATGTCTCCACCGCTCATTATCTCATCTGAAGAGATCGATGAGGCAAATCGCTAATCTTGAGACATTAGATGGCTTTTTTTTCCCGCTAAATCTTGTGACCAGTTCCCTGAAACTCTCTTCTTCGCCTTCCTCTGTTTTTTTTGTATCTTTTTGTTCAGTTGATTGAGATCTACGGGAAAGCGTTGAAGGCAACAGAAGAGAGGGTAAAAGAACTCAAGACTCAGCATAAGAAGTGAGAAACAGAGTTCTGAAAATGTCAAACGAGAAAGTGGTTTAGATTCTCCCATCTCTCTCCTTGAATTGTTTGCCATTTGCTTTGCACAATTCACAATTTTAGCTACATGCATAATAATAAAGCTTTCAACTTCATTTCACTTTTTTCTCACGATGTTAACAAAATCATCTTACGAAACCAAAGATGCACAGACACAAGTCTTAGTTATACAGTACAATATTCTACTTGATGGAATAAAATAAACAACAATGGCGACTTCTCACTACTTGATCATTAATATCAATCTTTCAGAATCTTGAATGTGTAAATCACTGAAAATTATTACAAAATCCATCATTCATTCAAGAAATGTGTCAGTACAAGTACAACCATAAGTTAATGCACAGGTACACACTTGAAGAGATCATTCCTTAGAATATGCGGAAGAACACTGAATGATCAAATCAGGCTTATGTCAGCCATGGGAGAAGTATCATGACCATAAGACAAACTCCAACGATAAATGCAACCAACATAGACACTAAAAACAATATTTACAAGTACCATTACTGTTCAAATTATTGCACAAAAGATCACCATTACGCGTCCAACATAAGTGAGCATTGAAATGCAATAGCACAACATAGAAGCCATGAATATTGTTTTCCTGACAAAACTTATGATGCTTGAATCTGTAGCATCCACCATAAGACAAACTCCGAAGATAAATTCAATCAAAATATACTTAAAAGCAACTTTTACGAGTACCAGGGCTTGCAGGTAGAAGAAACCTTTCCGTAAATTATCACTCAAAAGTTTTGCACAAAAGAGAGAAATTACTGCTAAAACAGAATTGAGCATTAAAATGCAGTTGCACAGCATAAAAGCCATGAATGTTGTTTTCTTGACAAAATCTGTGATGCCTGAATCTGGAGCAGAAGTCTTGTAAACTTTTGTACATTTGATACTCATAATCAATGTCACTGCTGCTTCAATTGTTGCAATCACCATAAGTTTTCCGATAGGACCGATAACATTCTTTAATCTCATGGCCATATCCAAGTTGATTAAATCTCTAGCTGTAAGAATTTTGGTATTAACAAAAACATTTTTTTTAAGCAGATTCAGAAAATAGATAACAATCAAATTTAAAAGAAAAGCAAAAAAGTTCATAAACTATGCCAAAGAATTATTGAAATCCAAAAGAATAATTGCAACTTAAACATGGAAATGCAGAACTCAAAGTTTACCTCAGACGACGCTTTGAAAATCTTGAAGATGATTTTGAAGTTTTGAACTTTGTCAAGAAAATTGGGTAATAATTAAGCAACCACACCATTTGATTCGATCAAGCCATTGACTTAATCACAATAAGAAAGAAATAGTCTGAATATGTTCGTACTATTCAACACCGCTGATTTAGCTTGCCAAGCAAGCAATCAAATAATACAGTTAGGTTGTTGACTCCAACAAAAGGTCGCTGATCCTTCTTCTATCTTCCACCATTGTACTTATTGACATTGTAGAAAGACACTTGTGACTAAAGAGCTACTAGATATGGTCCAAAAGTAACGAGCTTGTCACAAATATACAAAAATCATAAACGTTGACATAAACAAAAGACCACAAACTACAATGAAACTTTGTATCATTCTTGACAATGAAACTTGAAACATAAAATTTGAAGAAAATCATTTTTTTTGACTTTCTATCATTCTTTTGCCATTTTTGTTATTGTTGAGATGTTAAAGCAAAACAAAAAAAAATCTTAGTTATTGTTCAGTATACTAGTACTTGATGGAATAACTCAACAATGCAACTTCTCACTATGTGAGAAAATGTTTATTACACATTGCAAAGATCATTCCTTAGAACATGCATGGGAGAAGGATCATGACCACAAGGCAAACTCCGACGATAAATGCAACCAACATAGAGACAAAAGCAAAATTCAAAAGCTTCATGGCATATTCGAAGAGGAAATCTTTGGCTGTAAAATCACTCAGAAGCTTTGCACAAACGAGAGTCATCACTGCTACAGCAGAAATGATTACTGGAACGAAGTTGCATAACAGAAACACCATGAATATTGTTTTCTTGACAATGCCTGAATCTGGAGCACAACTCATGTAAACCTTTGTACATGTGAAACCCATTGTAAATGTCACTGCTGCTTCAAATGTTGCAATCAACATAAAATAAACTCCAAGGCTAAATGCAATCAACATGTACTCAAAAGCATATGTTACGAGTAACAGGGCTTGTAGGAGGTGGAGAGCTTTCCGTACATCACTCCGAAATTTTGCACAAATGAGAGAAACTACTGCTGAAACAGAAGTGAGCATTGAAATGCAGTTGCACGGCATTAAAACCATGAATGTTGTTTTCTTGACGAATCCTGTGATGCCTGAATCTGTAGCAGAACTCATGTAAACCTTTGTACATTTGAAATCCATAATCAATGTCACTGCTGCTTCAGTTGTTGCAATCACCATAAGTAGTCCGATAGTAACGTTACCACCGGAACATCTCGAGGCCATATCCATTGATTAAATATCTAGCTGTGACAAGTTCAATGAGACATGGCGATAGGAAAATAAAGAACAATTAAAACAAAAATCAGAATTTTTTTTTTTAAAAAACAGATCATAAACGTTGACAAAGAAGAAAAACAAAAAAGTTTATAAACTCTTTTTTTCTTTTTCATTGAAACCCCAAAGAATAATTGCAACTTAAACATGGAAATACACTTGTATAAAACATTACCTCAGGGCTCAGACGGTTTGAAATATTGAAGATGATTTTGAACTTTTGAACTTTGTCAAGAAAATTGAGGGAGCAAGCAACCACACTATTTGATTCGATCAAGCCATCTACTTTTCTTTACTTAATCACAATAAGAAAGAAATAGTCTGACTGAAGAATGTTCGTATTATACCAATCAACACGGATGTTTTAGCTTGACAAGCAAGCAATTAAATAATACAATTAGGTCGTTGACTCCAACAAAAACTCACTGATTCTTCTTCTGCCTCTATTGTATTTTGTCTCTGTTTTTCAGAATGGGGTAAAGTCTCTCTAATATACGGTAAAGCGTTGAAGGTAAAAAAGGGAGAGTAAAAGAAGTCAAGAACCAGCATAACTGCATAAGAAGTGAGAAGCAGTGTAACATATCAGTTTATATGCAAAATAAGAGAACCGTAAATGGTACAATGTATCTTTTGTTTCTCAAAGATTTGATTTTTGCTTTTGTATACACGTCTTGGACAATATTCTACTTGATGCGACTAGACAACAATGGAACTTCTCATCACTACGTGATCATTAATATCAATCATTATGATCTTGAATGTGTAATCATGGGAAACTGTTACAAATCCTTCACTCATGGCTTATGAGGTAGACACTTGAAGAGATCATTCCTTAGAATATGCATAAGAACAATGAATCAAATCAGGCTTATGTGAACATGACATGGGAGAAGGATCATGACCACAAGGCCGACGATAAATGCAACCAACATAGACACAAAAGCAACTTTCACAAGCTTCATGGCATATCCGAAGAGGGAAGCTTTCTCTGTAATATCATTCAGAAGTTTTGCCCAAAAGAGAGCCATTACTGCTACAACAGAAGCGAGCATTGGAACCCATTTGCACAACAGAAACACCATGAATATTGTTTTCTTGACAATGCCTGAATCTGTAACAGAGCTCATGTAAACTTCTGTACATGTGAAACCCATAATAATTGTCACTGCTGCTTCAATTGTTGCCATCACCATTACATAAACTCCGAGGCTAAATGCAATCAACATATACTCAGAAGAAAGTTTTACAAGATACAGGGCTTGCAGGCAGAGGACAGCTTTCAGTAAACTATTACTCAAAAGTTTTGCCCAAAAGAGAATTATTACTGCTAAAACAGAAGTGAGCATTGAAAGGCAGTTGCACAACATAAAAACCATGAATATTGTTTTCTTGACAAAATCTGTGATGCCTGAATCTGGAGCACAACTCATGTAAAGCTTTGTACATTTGAAACTTGTAACAAATGTCACTGCTGCTTCAATTGTTGCAATCACCATAAGTATTACTATAGAACCGATAACATCGTTTAATGTCAAAGCCATATCCAAGTTGATTACCTGTTACAAATTCAATGAGACATCATGATAGGAATTTCCAAGAATTATTATATAAAAAAATATCAGAAAAAAATTAGACAATAAACGTTGACAAAGAAGAAAAACAAAAAAGTTCATAAACTCTTCTTTTTATTTTTCGATTGAAATCCAAAAGAATAGTTGCAATTTAAACATGGAAATACACATTTATAAACATTACCTCAGACGCTTCGAAATCAAGAAGATGATTTTGAAGTTTTGAACTTTGTCAAGAAAATTGGGGGAGCAAGCAACCATAATATTTGATTCGATCAAAACCATGAACTTCTCTTTACTTAATCACAATAAGAAAGAAAAGGTCTGAATGTTCATACCCATTCAACAGCGACGATTTAGCTTGCCAATCAAGTAATTGAATAATACAATTAGGTCGTTGACTCCAACAAAAAGTCGCTGATTTCTTCTTTTGCCTCCTATATATTATATCTCTGTGTTTCTCTACCGATTCTGTCTTCTACAATTGTACTTATTTGACATTGTAGAAATATACAAAAATCAGAAAAATAGATCATAAACGTTAACATAAACAAAAGAAAGACCATAAATTCTTATTTCAATTGAAATCCAAACTAATAATTAGAACTTAAACATGGAAAATACACACTCAAAGATTAACTCAGACGTTTTCAAATCTAGTATATGAAAGAAAAGAAGGAGATGATGTTACAGTTTTGAGCTAATTTAGCATAATTGACAATTCTTGCAGCTGCAAGAACTTGTACTTGTACACACAAATGCTTATCGGTCTATACAGGTCGGTACGGACCGGGATAACCAACCTACGGACCGGACTCATAAGAGTTTTTTGGTCCACCAAAACATCCCATCTACTTTTGATCACTACTCAAAACAAAAATTGAAAAAGAAATACACAGAAGATCACTTAAATCAGAGAACATCTATTTGGGCAATCTCCATTATTATGGAACACGAATCATCACTTTCGGGTATGTAAGATCGAGGGCGTTTCTTATTTGCTTCTCTTTTCAATCTTCTCTCTCTCGAACTTAGTGAAGTCTTGAACCCTGCTCCGTCTCCATTCTCCGAGTCGTACAAATCTTTAAACGATTTCTACAAACACGAGAACACTTTGAATCCATCACTACGAGAATAATGACACCAAACAAGATTTTTCTTGATGAGGTTTCTACTCATGAAATTGAAAAGAAGAGAAAAGTTGTTTTGAAAAAAAAAAGACGAACCTCTCTGATCTCGGCGAAGCTAACGGCGTAGAAAGTGACGACTTAGACAGCGAGAAAATTGGGGGAGCAAGCAACTACACTATTTGATTTGAATCTAGCCATTTACTTCTCTTTACTTAGACATGAGAAGAAAGAAAAAGTCTGAATGTTGGTACCAATCAACAGAGATGATTTAGCTTGACAAGCAAGCAATTAAGATAAACAATTAGGTTACTGGCTCAAACAAAAAAATGTCACTGATTCTTCGTTTGTGCAACACAAGTCTTTTAGTTATTGTGCAATATACTACTTGATGGAATAAACCCAACAATGGGACTTCTCACTATGTGAAATTGTTTATTACACAGTTCAAAGATAACAATGAATCAAATCAGGCTTATGTGAATATGACATGGGAGAAGGATCATGACCACAAGGCAAACTCCGACGATAGATGAACCATCAGAGACACAAAAGCAAATATTACAAGCGGCATGGCATATCCGAAGAGGCAATCTTTCTCTGTAAAATCACTCTGAAGTTTTACCCAAAAGAGACCCATTACTGCTACAAAAGAAGTGAGCATTGGAACGCATTTGCACAACATAAACACCACGAATAATATTGTTTTCTTGACAATGCCTGAATCTGGAGCAGAACTCATGTAAGCCTTTGTACCTGTGAAACCCATAATAGATGTCACTGCTGCTTCAATTGTTGCCATCGCCATTACATAAACTCCGAGGCTAAATGCAATCAACATATACTCAAAAGAAATTTTTACAAGTAACAGGCCTTGCACGTAGAGGACACCTTTCACGAAACTATCAATCAAAAGTTTTTCCAAAAAGAGAGCAAGTAATGCTAATACCGAAGTGAGCACTGAAATGCAGTTGCACAACATAAAGGCCATGAATATTGTTTTCATGACAAAGCCTGTGATGCCTGAATATGGAGCAGAGCTCATGTAAACCTCTGTACATTTGATAATCATAATATATGTCACTGCTGCTTCAATTGTTGCAATCACCATAAGTATTACGGTAGAACCGATAACATCTTTTAATGTCAAAGCCATATCCAAGTTGATTAAATCTCTCTACCTGTAGCAAATTCGATGAGACCTCATGATAGGAATTTCCAAGAACATTTATATTAAACAAAAAACAAAAAAAAAAACAGAATAAAAAATTAGATCATAGACGTTGACAAAGAAGAAAAACTAAAAAGTTCATAAACTATTTTTTGTATCTTTTCGATTGAAATCCAAAAGAATAGTTGCAATTTAAACATGGAAATACACATTTATAAACATTACCTCACACGCTTCGAAATCAAGAAGATGATTTTGAAGTTTTGAACTTTGTCAAGAAAATTGGGGGAGCAAGCAACCATAATATTTACTTCTCTTTACTTATAATCGCAATAAGAAAGAAAAGGTCCGAATGTTCGTGCCAATCAACAGCGATGATTTAGCTTGCCAATCAAGCAATTAAATAATACAATTAGGTCGTTGACTCCAACAAAAAGTCGCTGATGTCCTCTTCTGCCTCCTATATAATTATATCTCTGTGTTTCTCTACCGATTCTGTCTTCTACAATTGTACTTATTTGACATTGTAGAAATATACAAAAAAATCAGAAAAAAATAGATCATAAACGTTGACATAAACAAAAGAAAGACCATAAATTCTTATTTCAATTGAAATCCAAACTAATAATCAGAACTTAAACATGGAAAATACACACTCAAAGATTACCTCAGACGTTTTCAAATCTAGTATATGAAAGAAGAAGAAGGAGATGATGTTACAGTTTTGAGCTAATTTATGCTTAATTGACAATTCTTGCAATTGCATAAACTTGTAGTTGTACCTGTACACACAAATGCTTATCGGTCTATACAGGTCGGTACGGACCGGGATAACCAAAATACGGACCGGAATGGCTCATAAGAGCTTTTTTTGGTCCACCACAACATCCCAGCTACTTTTGAGATCACTCAAAATAAAAATTGAAAAAGAAATACATAAAAGATCACTGCATCAGAGAACATCTATTTGGGCAATCTCCATTATTATAGAAACACGAATCATCACTTTTGGGCATTCAAGATCGAGGGCGTTTCTTATTTGCTTCTCTTTTCAATCTTCTCTCTCTCGAACTTAGTGAAGTCTTGAACCCTGCTCCGTCTCCATTCTCCGAGTCGTACAAATCTTTAAACGATTTCTACACATTCGAGAACACTTTGAATCCATCACTTAGAGCATAATGACACCGGACAAGATTTGTCTTGATGAGGTTTCTACTCATAAAATTGAAAAGAAGAGAAAAGACGAACCTCTCTGATCTCCGCGAAGCTAACGGCGTAGAAAGTGACGACGGAGACGGCGAGAATTCCCAGAACAGGGAGACCGATATGGCTAAGCCCATCCATTTCTTTCTCTTGTGTGAACCAAACTTTTATCTTCTTCTCTCTTGAGGATAAGGCTCTTTATATACTGTTGCCTTCTTGAAAACCACACAACCTTAACCAACCATTGTTAACCAATTAATGACAATTTCTAAACCGAATTTTAGTGTTTCAATCAAGACCATTAGTGAAACAATTGAACAACAATCTGGGGATTGGACAAAACCTTGAAAAATAATAATAATAACAATAATCAACATCTCTAAAAGGTTTTTTGTCCACACTAAACATATAGAGAAATGCAAGCTGAGTAAATTATTAGTATCTGTGATCACAGCTTAAACTGGTAACTGGTAAAAGACTTTCTATTGAATACAAATCAAACCCTAAGAGGAAATCACAAATCCAAATCAAACCCTATATGTTTACATTAGAGAGTTTCTTTTTTAACGAGTTCACGTGAAGAGCTTCTCTGACATGTTTGTGTAATAACCTTCCTCACTCACTTCCTTTTCTCCCTTGAATATCTCAGCATCATCAAAACCTGTTCACACATTTCATTAATGAAGCTTTTGTTTATAACAACTTCACACATCATTATTCCATATCCCAAAAAAAAAAACTTGACTCTGTGAAGATCTTACCTGATCCCAAGTCTTCTGTTTCGTCGACAACAGCTACTTCTTCTGTCCTCTTAATGGGCTCCAGTGACTTCCAGTCTGAGCTTCCATTACCTTCTATACAGACTTGGTTTCTTGAAATCCAATCTTCAAGAAGTTCCATGTTGCTGTGTGACAACGGGTCTACATTCTCATCTCCGCCTTCAACGCCCCTGAAAGAGAGAGACAGGAGAACCCTTTAGCCTCTGTTTCAGAACAAAACACCATGTTCTTAATCGAGATTTCCAACTTACATTCGTTTCAGACGCATGTTGTACTGAACAAACACAAGATCGCTGAGCCGTTGCCTCTCAATGGAGTTCTTCGATTCAAACACTTGCTCGCACGGTGTAAAGTTTCTCCCGGAGCCAATCATTGAGCTATACGTCTGACTCAGAATCCGTATCGCAAAACGTGACAGGTTCAAGCAGCTTTCTCCATATGTAGACCACCATTCAGCTAAAAGAATCAAATCAGAACATGTGTTTAATTCGTGTAACATACGAAGCCTTTATTATCAGATTCAATGAATAAGAAAATGGCGGCATTTACTAGGAAGCATTGTGTCCCGAGCTCTGATTGCTAAGTTCCTTCCGAATATCCCTACAGCGTTCTTGTATGAGTTTATGTCCTTAACGATCATATCTTGAGTGTTGTCTTCAGGGACAAGCTTCTCTATGCAATCAACTACAGCTAAATGTATCTCGCTGCGCATCTCTTCGTCGATGCTGTAGAAGAACTTCGGGTTCAGATAGAAACCAGCAGCGTGCAAAGGAAGACGGTGCTGCTGCAGCCACCACTTATCTATAATCTTCCAGTAGGTTATGTAATCCTCCCTGTGAACCAAATGAGTCTTGATCGCTTCTTTAGCTCGATACAGCGCGGCGTAGACATACCCCATCGCAGGCCTCTTCTCAGAGCAAACTATCCTCAAAACACGTAGAAGCGGAGCAGTTATATTGTTCGCCAACGCTAACGCCTTCCAGAAGCTCTCGTCGTTGATAGTCTCAGCCATCGCTAATCCTCCTGCTTCCTTCGAGTACGAACAGTCGTTCCACTCGGAGGAAGTAACCATGCCCTGGAGATGCGGTTTCAGATCGGCGGTTCTTGCCATCGTCGCGAAGTTCGTGGCGGAAGCGGTGAACGCTGGCTGCAAGATATCGTTGCCGAAAGTGAACTTCCTCGTTAGATTCAGAACGCCACTGTGGTTGTAGATGATTCTTGTGACGGTTCTTGCTTGCTCGATGATCTCGCTTATCCAGTCGATCTTCCCAAACTCATCGAGCATCTTGTCTATGCAATGCGCAGCACAAGGAACCCAGTACAGAGTACGGTACACTTCCATCAGCTGTTTCCCTGCGGCGACGTAGTGATCTTCGCATTTGGTGATAACTTGAACAACGTTGGCCTCGCCGACTTCTTCAACCACGTCCTTGAGTAACTCATACAGTTTATCAGCAGAAGGTAATATCTCCGTCGCGTCAACAGACTTGAGAAACACTACTTTCTCCGGGCAGTACACCAGAAAGTTAAGGACTTTAAGGCCTTTGTTTGAGTTCGATTCCTGGACTAACACAGAACATCCCGTCTTCTTCCACAGAGGTTTACATTCGTCGATCTCTTTCTTCGTCTCCTCGACGCAGCTCTTCAGAATCCAGCCTCTGAGGTCTTCATTCGCAGGCGGAGAAACACCGAATCCTCCAGAGACAATCGCGTCGATAAACGGCTGGAAATTAACAGAGCTCACAGCATCAAGATCAGCTCGGATATCGAACAAGAACCTTCCGGTGGCCATATGAACTGTTCTCTCCCTCTCTTTCGACGACGGATGCACAATGTTCTTCACGCTGCTAATAGCCACCGGGATCAAATTGTCCATGTCGCTACCAATCAAATCACTGATATCGTTCACACCACCGACCTCAACATCGGCCAAATCACTCCTCTCAAAGGCATTACTATTCTTTCTACTCCTGTAAGTCCTCTGCTTCGTTCTCCCCGTGCTTTGTTGACCAGCCGCTAAATCCGCCGAGCTCGGAGATTTGAATTCTCCGTTGTTCGCATCAGAAGGAACAACGACCTCGGTATCTACTTCACAAGGAGGGAAGTAAGCTATAGGGAGAGGCTCGGGGCTCGATTTTCGCCTCTTTCTCTGGCGTCTCACGGTGCCGTCGATACACTGCTGCAAAAAGAGACGAACCTCATCGGGGACTTGGTCACAGATCGTGCCTTGCCCCTTCTTTCCGGCGAGATGCTCCTTGACTCTGGTGATACCGCCTCCTCTGAAGAGCTTTTCACAGTAGAGACATTTCATCTGAACTCGATCCCCATATTTGTAAACCTTGCAGTGCTTCCACGCACTGTCTTGCTTCTGAGGCGTGAGAGCTACAGGTTCCCAATCCGAATCCATTCAGAGAAACCTACAGGAGAAAGGATCCATGAATCACATTGAATAAACTCAAACCCTAGATCTTCCACAATTGAGATTACAAGATCAATTGAAATCTCTCTGAGTTTCGTGGAGAAGATGATTGATTATCATAATTCCGTTTGGTTCAAAATCCGGATCGGGGAAATTCGAGGGAAGAGCTTTGAAAACGCAAAAGATTCTAAAACCCAGGTGCACCAAAGTCTCAACCGATTTAACAAAACCGGTAAATTTCTCCGTTGGTGTATCGTTAAGAACGGAGACGAAGAAGAATTAAACGAACCTTTTTGGTTTGCAGGGTTGTGACCGGGTTGGTTACGGGAGGATCGGTTCGGTAAGAGCTTGATTAAATTACGGTATAAAGACTTCGGTTCCGGGGAAGACGGAGGTGGAATCAGGAGGAGGAGGAGAGACGGAGGAACGGAGGGGAAGAATCTCAGGGCGACGGAGAAATGCAATGTCTGGGAAATTTCTGAGATGACCCGGCTCGTTTAGGGTTCGAGAGAAAGAAAAGGTTGGGCAGCTTTTTCTGGTTAATAAAAACGACAATTTTTAATTTTTTTTTTGTGACGTCTTTTTAAAAAATACTTTTGTTTGGCTAAACTTGTTTTCTTTTTTTTTTCGTTTAGCGTAGCTGAATCGGTTTTTAATTCGAGGACTGAATTGTTAATTTACGCAAGGAGCGGTCTGATATGGTGATAAGTGACTTTTGTGGGCATGTTGTAATTTTTCCATATAGAAATGATTTGGGTGATTTGGAATATGGTTTGTTCAAATCTCATGCAAATTATATTATTATTCAAATTTAGATATCTTGTTATATTATTTTTATTTTACTTGTAAGTTATTAGTTTTACATTGTTTCTTAATTTTTATTTAAAGTATGATATTTTAAAATTTTGTTTTTTGTATAGCCTATTATTAGATTATGAATTTAACTATAATTTTAGTTATACAGCTTTTTCATTTGCTATTTTTCCGGTAAACATTAGTATTTGCTCTACATCTTAATACAGTAATATTTTTTTTTTATATGGATCAACTAGATTTTGGACTCGTGCACTTACGCGGGATTCTTTTAATAAAATATTATTTTTACGTTATATCAAAAATTGGGTTATATGAAACTTTTGTTCAAAAAAGATCATCTTTATTAAATTTAATATTATGGTTCAAACAGAATTTTTTATTAGATTATATAAACTATTTTTACATTATAGTTTTATATTTTTAGAATTATTCAGGCTTGAATTTATAAAAAAAAAATATTTTGATTAGCGGATTTTCTATTAATTTTTGTTACAAATATTTCAAAATATTATGTTTTCTAATATTGTAGTAGAAATTTGATTTGTTTGTAATTAAGATTTTAATATTTACTTAGGCTTGTTTGTTTTTGCATTAAAATACTTATTTAGATGCAAATATTTAAATATTATTTTAAAAAAATATTTTTAAATCAGTATATAGATGTTGTATCTCGATGCAAAATCTATAATATTGAAAAATATTAAAAAATTAAGATGCTAAAAAAAAGAAATTTGGATGCAGTATTTGAATCTCAAAAATTAAAAGACCAAAATACCTTTTAATTTAAACCACAAAATTAATTTTTTTTTTTTGTCAAAACCATAAAATCAGAGTTTTCTATCGAAATAAAAAGTTGCATTTTTATGCAAAATCGTAAAATCACATTGTTGTACTAAAACCGAGAATTTCCGTAGAAACTGTAAAAATAGCATTTTCCATCAAACTGTGTTTTCTTTCAACACCATAAAACCGTATTCTATAGCCGAATTTCTAAATTCACGTGTTTTGTAAAACCTGCAAAATTGTATTTCTCGTTAAACCCGCAAACCTGCACTTTCAATAAAATCCATAAAACTATATTTTTCTATCAAATCCTATAAAACCCGCCAAAATATGCAAATCTTGTAAAACCCGCAAAATCAGGTTTCCCGCCAAATCTATAAATCCGTGTTTTCTGTAAAATTGTAAAATCTGTAAAATTATGTTTTACGACCAAATTTCTAAAATCATGTGTTTCTGCCAAACCTGCAAAATCGAGTTTCTAACCCACAAACCCGTATTTTCCCGTATGACTATATTTTCCGCTAAAATATGTAAAATCCATATAATTTGCAAAATTGTGTTACACGCATTCCGCAAACCCGCACTAAGCACATGCGAGAACACGTAAATTAACAATATATATTATATTTTCTCAATAAACAATAATGTATGTTTCGAAGTAAATACATGCAAATTCGAAAGCAAATATTTGCATTCCAGAATGTATACTTGTATATTCTGTATTCTGTGAAGATATGCTATCACAATTTTTTTCTAAAAAGATTTTATACAGATCTTACATTCTCTTTGTTTAGTTTTCAAAATTTTATTAGTTATTGTAATTGAATAATAATATATTCTAAAACTATAATTAGGTAACTAAGATTTGGTATTTAATTAGTTATAGTTTAATTCGGTTTATGAATTAGTTTGATTGGTTTAATATTTTTATATGTATATCGATTTTGAAATTTTGGTTACTATTACACAGAATAAACTAATTGAACCAAATCATCAACCAAATTAAATCTAATTTTAACAAAATCTAACCCAAAAACATATCATCCGTAAAACAATATGACCCACCTTCCTTCTTCTTCTTCACCGTAATTCATTAGTTTTTTAAAATTTCAAGAAAAAAAAATCTTCTAAATATCACTCAAATCAATCAATCGAACACAACTCTAATAAATTCACCAGTTACACTCAACAAAGATTCTTTTCATTTTTGTTTTACTAAAGTTATGTCCTATTAAACCAGAAACAAACAATTTTTTTAAACCAGATTGTGTTAACGATGAAGAATCTTTTAAGATAGACGAAACAATAACTCACAATTATTAAACACTGACGTAGCTAACCAAAAGCCACCTAATTGTGCTGGAGCAATCCCGTTTGAAAGGTCACGTGAGAGATCTTCGTCAAACAATAACTTCACAATTTAGTGTTAACAACTATACTTAGAGTGTAGATCTAGGGATTTGCCTAACTTTTAATTATTTTTATACGTTAAGATCCTTAAGTGCCTAATGTTTCAAAATTAAGTTTCTCCAATCGAGATAAAACTTAATTGAACTTAAAATAGTGATAATCAGAGCGTTGATCCAAATTAATCAAGTATGGTTTGTGTATGTTAACTATAATGTTTAAGTGTGTAATTATTAGAACAAAAAATGTGTAATTGAAATTATAATAAGACACTAATATCTTTAATGAAATTATGAAATTCTCTAGTAAATATAATGACAGGACTTGTAAATATCATGGTATAAATTGGACATTTATTAATAATGATTCTCTTTTAATAATTTAGATAGTTCCAAATATATAGTTAGTATAGTTAGTACCATTTACATAGTTTATACGTAATACTTATATTAATTCATTAATGGCAATTGCTGTAAATAACACAAACAAATGTTAGTTTTAAAAAAATGATCATCTTTTAATAGTATAGACTAGATTTTGGACTCGTGCACTTACTCGGGTTTCTTTTTATAAAATATTTTTGGACCATAGCAGAAATCAGTTCATATTAAATTTTTGTTCAAAAAACATCAACTTATATTATTAAATCCAAAATTTTGGCCCAGACTGAAAATTTTTAGATTTTTATTAGATTATATAAACCCTTTTTACATTTTTGGTTTTATGTTCTTAAAATTGTTTAGACTTGATTTTATAAAAAAAATATCTTGATTAGCGAATTTTCTGTTAAGTTATGTAACAAATATTTTAAAATATTTGGTTTTATAAAGTAACAGAGAATTCATTTGTTTGTAATTAAGATTTCAATATTTACTTAGGCTTTGTTTGTTTTTGCATCCTGATATTTATTTGAATGAAAATGCTCAAATATTATTTTTAAAAATTATTTTTAAATCAGTATATGGATATTATATATGAATACAAAATCTATAAATAATATCTCAAAATTTGTATATTTAAAATACTAAAAAATAGAGTTTGGATGCAGCATTTGAATCTCAAAAATTAAAATCAGAGTTTTCTATCAAAATAAAAGGTCGCATTTTCCCTCAAAATCGTAAAATCACATTGTTGTACCAAAATCGGGAATTCCCGTAGAAGCTGTAGAAATAGTATTTTCCATCAAACCGTATTTTCCCGCCAAAACTGTAAACCCCCATTTTTTAACATAACAAAAAATTATGTTCCCCCAACACCATAAATCTGTATTCGATGAATAAATTTCTAAAATTACGTGTTTTTGTTAAACCTGCAAAATTATGTTTCTCATCAAATCCGCAAACCTATATTTTTAATAAAATTCATAAAACCACATGTTTCCATCAAAACCTATAAAACCCGCTAAAACATGTAAACCTCGCAAACTCATGTTTCCCGTCAAATCCACAAACTCTTGTTTTTCCGTAAAATTTAAAAATCCGTAAAATCATGTTTTACGACCAAATTTCTAAACTCATATGTTTTGGTCAAACCTGCAAAATCAAGTTTCCAGACGCACAAATCCGCATTTTCCCATATGACTACGTAGTCCCGCTAAAATCGGTAAAACCGTTATTCACATTCTGAAAATCCAGTTTTCCTGTAATTCCTCTAAATCTGCAAAATCGTGAATACGACCAAATTTCTAAAATCATGTGTTTCTGCTAAATATATGAAAGCATATTTCTTGTCAAACTGGCATTTTGTCGTAAAAATATATTTTCCGTAAAAACTTATAAAATCCGCTAAAACTTGTAAAACCCGTAAAATCTAAAAAATTGTATTTGTCAAATTCTCAAACCCATGATTTCCCGCAAAAAATCATTAAAAAACCAAGAAAAAAATTATTTACATAATATTTTTTCATAGTATATATATATATATATATATAACCATAAAATAATAATTACATATTCATTATTGACTATAAATTGTCACATTTA